TTCTTTTACAACTTTGGTTTGTTATCAGGAAGATGCTTCTGCTAATCTCCTGTTTTATTTATTTTTGTGACCCACAATAACATCTACGTTCATTGAGAAGTAGTGAAATCTCAATATCTTCTTCAATATAGAATTTAGGTGAGCCTCAGCTGACTAAATACTTAATGTATTCAAAGAGGATTGCAGTATTATTCCTTGCCTTTAAGTCAGTTTTAATGAATTCATTATTATGAGGGGATATCAAGAATTGTATATAACACTACCATATCAGAACATGAAAAGGTTCAAAAAGGCTGGTCTTTCAGCATTTATGGCTATATATACTGATGATTTGCTTTGCTTTAAATGCAAACATTGTTTAACGTTCGGGAACTAAATAGATTAATTATACATCGCAAATATTATTAGTGCCTGGATAATTATTAGATCATATTGTAATCCCTAAACCAAGCATTTGTGATTTCGACGTTTTGCAAAAACATTAATCAATATTATACCTACATTTTTATTGAGATTAATTTTCATTAACGTAATAAGTCAAAAAAGGACATAAAACAAAAAAGGATTTTTTTCATACGATATTTTTACAGGCCCTCAAATTTACTTTTATCGAGAATTCTGTCCAATGTCTTTGCTATGTCAAATCTTATGCTCTCTGTTTTTTTTTATATTACAATTACTTGATGGTGATATGAACAAGCGATAAAATTAAAACTAAATCGATACCGTGTTAATTCAAAGGTAAAGCTCATAGTGAGCTAACATAGTCGAATTCTGCCATTTAATTTAATTTAGTTTTAAATGTTTATAGCGTTTTAATTTTTATTATTTATAATTATTAAATTAAATTCTTTGCCATGTAGTGGTGGTGTCAGAAAAGTGGTGACTACCCCATATCCACCCGTAAGTGTTGTAAGCAGTGACAGAGAGAAACAAATTAGAAGATAAGCGTTAGCGTCTTCCTAATAATGACTTAAAATAAAAAACTGCGGTTGCCAACCTGCTTGTCCAAGGGCAACGCCCTTGAAGCAATCCGTGTATGTGGGAGGCCTATGTTCAGCAGTGGACTTTAATAGAATGTAATGGAAATAGTAATTTTTACATTATTAGTTAACATAGAAATCATGTCAGGTCTTAACGTATTACGTAAAGACTTTGACGTATAAAACATTCAGTTAGCACTGGGGTCAAAAAAATTAGCTGCGCTCTCAACTCACAGGAAAAAAATATTACTCACACGCTTTGTATTTTTAAATAAAGGGGACAGGCTTGAAAATGTTATACATTAATTTAAGCAAATATAGTTGTTTTTTTTTTGGTATATAATAGATTATTATATTAAATCATTATTCAATTAGTTTTATTATATAGATGGGGTCCTACTAGATGGTATGCTACGGTTCTAACGGTCTGGGTTGGTGTTATATTCCTGTCTATAGCTGCTATCAAATAGCAGAAGACTCTATGTTTTGTTTCAGTTAGAAGTGTTAAATATTCGGTGTGATTTTAGAGCTTAAACTTCATCTTTAGGGTGACAACGTATCTGTGCTTACTTTATATAATGTTTCCACGAACAACAAGTAATAAACAAGTATCCATGAATCGTAGTTGTCACTGATATGTGGACACAATTAGTTTATTAGTTACTTTAGCACATTATTATATAAAAAATAAATGCATTTCCTCCATTACAACGTATAAACGCCGACTGCTGAACATGTGCTTCATCTAGAGATTTCTTCATAGAGAGGATTTTGCCATAGTTGCCTTGCTTGGTTGAAAACCGAAGTTTTTATAATTTTGAGTAATTATCACGTTAATTCAGTACTGCCCATTTCCTGTTTCAGTGTTCCTGAGTCCCTGTGCTCTTTAAATAATAAAATATCCTAATTGAAATAATACTAGTTTTTACGGAATTTATCGCGTATATTTTAACTTTTTAGATACCCGACGTTTCGAACGCTTTACAGCACTCATGGTCACGGGGAGGACTGAGATCTTCAACGTCCATATGTCATAGTTAACCGCGGTTACCATAGATTAAAATTTAACTTTTGTTCCGATCTGTGCAGTATGAACTTATGGTATCTTGAAGTCTTGCAGTTGTATGCTTGGGTTGGGATTTAATTTTATTTATTATAGGATCCCAAGCAGATGGTAGCAACCAGCCATCTTCTCTATTGAAATTAGGATGTTTTTTGATTTCAATAGCCTCGCGAATCATCCTTGGAAGGAATCGGTGTTCTTTAGCGAGGGTCTGCGGTCTATCAAATCTGATGTAGTGACGGGGGCGATTCTGTACGTGTTCACAGACTGCAGACTTCCCGAAGCGTCGATTCTTCACATCAGCTATACGTTCTTTAACGCGGGTTTTTATTGATCTTTTAGTTTGTCCTATGTAGGAGAGACCACATTCACAATCAAGCTTGTACACTCCTGCATCTTGCAGAGGGACATTACACTTGACCGATGGTAAAAACTGACCAATCTTCTTCAGCGGCTTGAAGTATGTTTTGATGGAAGCGCGCTTCAAGATGTAGCCAATCTTGTCAGTGACTCCTCTAACATATGGCAGTACAGCAGGTACACGCTCGACTGTGGCCGGCTTCACTCGTTCACTGTGACGTAGGCGCGGGACTCGAAGCTTGTTGTCATGCAAAACTTGCTTGACATGGTGGAGCTCTGCAGCCAGGTGTTTACTGTCACAGATCCCTCGTGCTCTCTGAAACAAAGATTTACCCACGGTAGCTAACTGTGAAGGATGGTGGTGAGAATCACCGTTTAAATATCTATCTGTATGGGTCTTTTTTCTATACACGGTATGGCTCAAGGTGTTATCAGGATTCCGAATTACTAACGCATCTAGAAAAGCTAAGGAATTGTTTGCCTCTAACTCCACTGTGAACTGAATTTTAGAATTTATAGAGTTAAGATGGTCTAAAAATGCAGTTACTTTATCTAAAGGTAGAATTGTGAAAGTGTCGTCTACGTACGTCGAACGTCGGGTATCTAAAAAGTTAAAATATATGCGATAAATTCCGTAAAAACTAGTATTATTTCAATGTGTAGTGTTCGCGTAAATATAAGAAATCATTAAATATCCTAATGTGCCTCATTTAATAAGTTTCAATTTTCTTTGATAAATTTTTATCAATTTTATTTAAAAAAGAAGTGCATAATTTATTTAAAAAAAGTATAAATTTTTTTGTAATTTAAGCTGATATCTGTATAATCCCTACTAGGTAAAATAATAATTTCGCGTAGTTTCCAGAAAATTCTAATATGTATAGGATATTTCAAAAACATAATTATTTGACAGAATTACTTTAAATGCGTACCATTATTCAGCAGCGTTTTAAATCACTAAAATAATTTGTTCCATTGCCGAAGTAACTAAATCAAAATTTATTCTGTTATTCCTGTTAGAAATCTATGTTTACAAAGATACTAATGTGCATTATTCTGTCTTTTTACATTATTGTAGGTGTTAATTTTTTTGTAAGAGGCAACGACAGGAAATTATGGCTTCCGGCATAGAAATGGACCTAAGTCAACGTCGTAATAGTAATAAATTTATAATAATGCCTTCCTTGTCAGTTTCGCCCACAATGACAAAATATAGATATAGATATATGCGGAAGCTTTAGCAACGACGCAAAACGTTTTTTTAATATTAAATTGCCAAATCTTGCGAGACGAATAGCGACCTAGCGATAAGAATTCTATAGCTTCAACTTTTGAATAACTTCAAGCGACAAAGGCTATGGATGCGTTGCCACCAATGAGGACTATAATGAAGTGGTGAGGCACTTAGAATTATTCTGGTTTTACCGTACTTTTTAACCAGAACACATACGTGAATGCCCTAATCTACGGTAACAGAAATAAGTAAATAAAAAAGGTGTTACAAACCAGGCAGTCTTCTAATTTCAAAAAAAGCCCTATAAAGTTATTATTTAATAATATATGCCACAAAAGAATGCAACACAATGAGATCCAAGCTTACCGCTGATATCTGTACGTTATTTTTTATTTTTTATTTTATTTCTACAAACGAAATTAAGTCAAACTGATATAAAAAATATATATGTTGTATAACTTTTACATTTCACTTAAAGAGTATATTCACTACGTTTTAATTGTACTCTATTTTTCACTTTATATTTAAAATAACAATCACAATACGTATTTTTTATTATTGAATAGAGATGTTGGTTCACTCAGTATATATATTTTTGAAATGTTTGTCCTGACTTGGTTTAGAATCCAAAGGCTGCAACGGTTTAGCAACGGTTTAGCGTAGGCAGTTACTTATGGTATATTAAATTAATGAAAACGTTCAGAAAGGAATAAGTAATATCACAGACGTAATAATCGCTCAATTTTTTTTTATAAAAGCAAACTGAAAATACCACCGTAGCCAGGAATAGCGGGGCCGCCGGGGACTGGGGGCCGTTTGTTTGCGTTGTTATTCATGGGGGATATTTGCCATAGTTGTCACGCTTGGCGAGTGGGTTGGCAACCGCAGTTTTTTTTATATCACTGTTGATATCAGGAAGATACTACTGCCCATCTCCTGCCTGTCTCCCTCTGTCGCCTCTTACGACACCCACGGGAAGATATGGGGTAGTGGATATTCTCAACTGCCACTATACGGCGATATATTACGTAGTCTATTTTTATTTCTTACAAAATGCAAAAATTAATAATAAAAAAAAACAATATTTACGTCTTAATCTATCTATAGATGCAATTCTCTCCGCAAAAAGAAGGATGATCACATATAATGCAACAACTGCATTATAATATATTCTACAACTCGGAGTGGCGCGCAAGGATTTTGCTCTCTAGATCTGCGTGCATCTTCTCGACTTCCTGGCGTGCTTCTTGATCTGCTGCTGCTGTTCCGCGAACATATCCATCTTGTCACCCGCCGCAGCCACCTTGCTATGATGCTTCGCAAGATTGCTTACATGGTCTGCATATAAGTGTCGTAACTTCTAGAGTCTAGACTCGTAATGCTGCAGTTCAACCTTGAAAGAGGCCAGTTCATCGACAGTGAAGTTTGCCGCCGCAGCTATACGCCATAGACCTTGCACTTTGGGCTCTATAAATTCTTTGTTTGTTCCTCGAGCAGCGATCCTATGTAGCCTGTCATATCCATCACGCAGCGCTCTATGCTGCTCCCTCAGTAAGTTAGCTTTATCCACAAAATCTTTGGAGGGCACCTCATTGGTCTCTAGGTTCACTTCATTAAAGTTCTCGATTTCTTCTTCGTTAACCGCATTTTTGAATCCCTCATATCCCTCAGTCTCCACATCGCCCAATAAATCATAGTTACTGGTCAATTTTCTCCTGATGATGTGTAAACTCCTCCCTCAAGGCAGATAGCTCCTCTGGAGTAAACCCTGAGGCCTCCGCCTTCGACCACAGCATATTCAGTTTTTTGTCCTTGAAGAGACTTCTGTTTATGTAGTCGTCCATGGCAGAGTTATGTGCTGGATCCATTTTCTATCTGCCAATGTTTTATCGTCGAAGTGCTCTCGCAGTCCATAAACATTCATAATATTTAATAATAATAATAATAATAATTCTTTATTGTCATTTTCATAATTAACAATTTGAAATGGATAGAAACCTGAGTCTCCTAGCAAGGTTACTGAGTAACCTGTATTTAGGAGATACAGTCCAAATAATATTTGTTAACTTTCCTCTTAAATCAGCCTCCTTCAAGCCCTCTTTGTCACCTTCGCTCTTAATTCTCTTATAAGTAATTTCTTCTTTATCTTGTATCATCAAGTCACTATAAAGTGATTTTAATTTTGACACACAAACACACACACACACACACACACACACACACACACACACACACACACACACACACACACACACACACACACACACACACACACACACAAACACACACACACACACACAAAATTGTTTTCTTAATATAAATATATCATATAACAAAATGAACAGAATTTATGAGATCGTTTTTCAACATATAAAGAAAATCGGGAAAGAGAATAATTTATGGCGTTCATAAATTTAATCCGTAAATATTCTCACACAATGGCTATCCTGCTTTTACCCTAAATATTTTACTCACTCTGGCATTCAATTATTTCTTCAATTGAAATGTCTTTTTGTTACAAATACCATAAATAAAACCAAAACAGACGTGTTTTTTCGAAAAAGCACCCCAAAGTCTGAGAAGACTGAAGAGAAAATCTGCATGTTTAAACATATATTTATAGAACGATACTTCTTGCACTATAAATACAAGGGGAAACCGTTTGGACCCGTTTGTAAAGTGCAAGATAATTTAGTATGTTTTAAAATCATGCTGCAACTAAATTATGATTGTAGCAGAAATGGTTTGGCTCGATCATGGAAAAAGCACTATCTCATAGAATACCAGCGTTAAATGGAAGAGTAATGCTGCTGTCTTTCGTAAGGTGAGTTTAGAGAAAGGGATACCATTTCTAATGGAAAAGAAGCATTTTATATTAGTTTTCAGGGGTGACAACGCATTTGCGTTTAGATTCTTAAGGTATAGAAAAATCGGATGATTCATTATACTGGACACGTTGATTGCACCAAGGTATGTAACAGTCGTTGGATATCCAGACTAGTGAGACAGTCACTATTAGATGTCGAAAGTGATGGGGATATGGGTGACGAGGAGAATTGGCGCATAGAATATGAGCAAGAGAGCACGAGATGTAGAGCTACCATGCCCGTTGAGAGCGAGCTTGCAAAGAAACTGTCCCACACGGACACTTCTCGTATATATCTAGCATCGCTACTCAAATCACACATACAAAGGTTTTTTTATATATAATAAAGGTGACAAACGAGCACACAATCCACCTGATAGTAAGTGTATACTGTGGCCCATAAAAATTTACATTTATCCTTATGATTAGAATCAATATACAAAGACGTTGTCACCACTGAGGACTTATAAGGAATGCCTCGTACCCAGTAGAGACTAAAAAGTGTCTTCGGTTCTCTATTCACAGAATGGTGATTCTGTGTGAGCATGGTGCTACCCTGTTCAAGCCGACTCATTCATGCTACAACTATAAAGGGTTAATGATAGAAATTATTTTTATAGAAAATGTTAGATTACATTATTTTATTAAGATTTTTTTTATAATACCGTGTATATCACCATTAACTAATTATTTGTAAAAAAGATTTCTCGCTCATCTTATAAAAATGTGTTCACAGGTTCTAAAAAAATTAAGTATGAATGAATGAAATGTATTCCAGTCACCTTATTGTCCAATCCATTAAGTAATAAAAGAATGTTGCATGCGGTCGTGCCAGATTACCGTTCTATCAGACTATGAGAGGATGAGAGTGCAATTATATTCCCGTACATACTCAAGGACTATAATCCTGTCCTGTGGAGATGGCTAGTCTCCATAGAGACCGACAATCATTACCGAAATTAGATCTGAAAGACATTGTTTAAAACCTTTGCGTAAAGTGTGAATAAAAGGTTTGTGTTATTTTCATATTCATATAAGTCAATAACATCGAAAGAAAAGAGAATTATAACAATTACAGTTATATCAGGCGTGTACCTACTTAAGGGCCGTTTTTTTAATAACGTATTTTTCTATATTTTTAGTTCTATTAATCAAAGTAATCACATATGAAAACTATGTATCTTTGCCAAAGCAGTAGCTATTTATTGATACCCTTCTTGAAGAAATCAGCTGGACGGGAGGCAACAAATTCTTCGAAGATATTTTGTACTGCCTCTCGGCTATTGAATTTTTTACCTGCCAAAAAGTAATCCAAATTCTGGAAAAAGTAGAAGTCTAAGCGTACTGCTGATGACGGGGAGCTCCCAATCTTAGCTCTTGTAACTAAGAGACCAACTGTTGGGCAGAATGAGGTCGTGCTTTGTCGTGCAGGATCAGCGAAGACGAGCGATTTGCCAAAAGCTTCTCTATCAATGTGTCAAGTTCTTCACCATACACATCTACAGTAATGTTCATCCGTTTCGTAAGAAGCTGTGATAAACTACACCGACGCGGCGCTAGACCAACCATACAGTGACCATTAGTTTTCTAGGGGTAAGTTTAGGGCACTATTTAGGTTCTGAACCAGGATTTAAACAACTTGCTGAGCACTTCCGATTGTCAAAGAGAATCCATTTTATGTCGCAGGTCACAATTTCGTTCTATATTCGTTCGTTTGTTTGTCTGTTGAACAGCGTGAAGCACGTCTTGAGTGGCCATCATTGAGTTCGCGGGGCACCCATTTGTTAATCCTTTTTACCTTGCTGATTTGACGCAAATGTATCAATATTATTTTGATGGCAACGTCGAAAGCTGGTGCTAATGCAGCCGTAGATTGAGTATCATCAGCTCTCACAGACACCTTTAATTTGTCATTGTCGACTAAAGTTTTTGAACGACCATGGGATTCATTGCTTATTCCAATATCAGGTGGTGCGTTCTTTTGCAGTATTTTCTCCATAAACGTCATTGACGTTGCGGTTGTTTGCGCCGCGTTTCTGACACGACGGTACTCACATTCTATAAATACTCGAATTTAGTAAACATGATGACGAAAAATAATCAGATGCAATGAAAACCTAACGTTGATCAATAACCACAGGACTAAGTTCGAATAAAAGTGACATGTTTTTAAAATCAAATTGATTAGAAGTTAGAATTTTTATCAATAGATAAATTCTTATTTATTTGTATTAATCAGTACTGCAAAACGGAAATTTCATTGGTAAAGACATCATAATATACGTATAAATGATGAAAAGTTATATAACAATAAATTGCAAGTTATTTTTGCTACTAAACATCGTGACTTCTACACGTTTTCCTCTTAAAGATTAAGTTGTCACCACCCAGGTTTAATTTCAGCATTAGGCAGCGACGGCCATATTACGAAAGTTGAACTTTTGTTCTGCGTATAAGTATTCAAGGCAAGTTTCATCCGTAAATTCTTTAGCATTATTTTTTCTATGCTGAACAATAAACGTGACATACGAAAAACTGGTGTTATGTATTAGCCGCGTTAATCAGTAATGTCAAAATAATATTACATACAAATACTTCAGTTTTATTTATATTAAAAACAGATAATATGTATATAAAAATAAGAGGCTAGTGGATTTATAAAAAATCAAGTCCTGTGATTTGTTTGAGGGACATGTACAATTTTTTTAAAAGAAAAATGTTTGACGAATAAATTGTTAGTGGCGGTATATGTATTAACTTTGCTTATCCGTAATTAATCGTGTAGAATCTTAACGAATCCTATATTATATTATAGAGTTAGGATGATTTCTAAAAAAAAACTTAGATTTCTCCTTCTTGAAGAGCGTTCAGTGGAGCGTACAGTCGGGCGTGCGGCAGGCCGTTATGCTATACAAACATGCTGTTTTATTAAAGTGCTGTGAGTGACAACCGCTTGATTTATACGAATAATATGACCCCTTCGCGAAAACCGAGTGTATTGCCTGTGCAATACAGAATCAGGTTATTAAGACCAACAACAATCGGAGATGCATTCTAAAGGACGGCACCGTCAAAAACTGTCGAGCTTGTCGCCTTCCCGATGAATTACTTAGGCATGCCATCTCAGGTTGTTCGGTGCTTTCTAACTCAGAGTACTACACAGGTACAACCTAGTAGTCAGGATTCTTCACCCGGAACTCGCTTTGAAATACGGTTTTGTGAATCGGAAACTATATTATTATAAGTATTTGCCAGAAACCGTGCTCGAAAATGATCGCTGATGCGATCCCTACTGGATACGAACCACCACCACATATAGGACTATTCCTGCAAATGTGCCTGATATTGTGCTTATGGGCCGGCCACAGTCAAGAATATTTTTGGTCGACATTACCATTACGTATGACGAGAGCCATATTTGGAGTCTGCATGCAGTGAGGAATTTATATGATCAACCATAGTTTTTCTTTTGCACTAAATTTGATCCCAACTGGCCCTAACACTCGGGTCCTGAGCTTTGCTGTCTACAATGTCAGTACGCCAAATGTATATCAATTATATAACATTTAGAACATGATGTTATTTAAAAAGTTTAGAAAAACAAATAATTTTATATTTCATTCGAGTGTTACATTGTAGTGTCGTGTAGCTCCAATGATAATTTATATTAGCTAATAGTCCAAGGAAGAAGCATTGGCCATTAGTTTGGACATTCCGAAGGCTTTGGATTGGGTTTGGCACAAAGCGCTTCTTTCAAAGCTCCCTTCCTATGGGCTTCCCGAGAAATTGTGCATTTGGATCACCAGCTTTCTTGCAGATCAGAGCATCAAGGTCGTTGTAGA